GGGGGAGGGGCTGAACATTTTTAATGTAGAGATGAAAACGTTTTAATGATACATGTGGCGATATTCAGATATTTTGTGCGGGTCTATACAACTTTTAGGAGGGTTTAGTCTACTAGCAAACCAACTATTTGCGTTTTAATCGGTAGATACTAATATAGGCACTCACTCGTTGAACCAGGTTCGATGAACACTTCGAACATTCGTTTGCATTTAAAAAAACATTCGACCGGTGTGCGCAATGTCCATTTTTTGTATCCACTGATTTGCGTCTGCCATGATGGAAATGCCACTTTGTCGATCTTGTGGGTTGATGAGGTGCACAGTCGATTTCCACCACAAATGTGTTCAGTGATTTATGAAAAGATAAAAAAATTATTAAATCCTTGATTTTTGAGAGGGGCGATGAATTGCTTTTAAACAGGGTGTTTCTGAAATGGTTGAGGTAACTAGTATATGTGTACTCAGTCTGATGACCCRATGAAGATTTGTTTGAAATTTTTTTTCAATCTTCAAAATCTGGGTTTAATCATCATATTTTTAGAACATTATCTTAAATGTGAAAATGAACACCCAAGTTGTRTTTTTTTGCGAAATTCTCATACGAATCGAGATGTCTGCACATCATTTTTACGCTTGTCGTGCGTTTTTCACGYTTGAATCGACAACTAAAAAAAAATTGGGTGGTACGTCGATTATTTCGTATGAGAAAACTACAAGTTAAACATTGGTGATAGTTGTTTATTGTTTTTTTAGTCGGCGATTCGAGCGTGAAAAACCCTTTACTACGAACTTTGAGATTTTCACGCATACAATAACAATTTCCCATAAAATTATTTTAGTTTTTTAGTGTTAATGTCCTTTAATCGCTGTTTATTCATTTATTTTACTATTCTACTATTATATTTTCTACTAAATATTCTGTTTGTAACTCGTTAAAAATATAATTACATGAATTATTTTATTTTAATAGCCATATTATTAACAATCTAAATAAAAAAAAAAATAAAAATATCATGTCAAGTTGGAACACCACTTGCTGAATATACCTATACTATTTAGGCAGAATTTAGGAGTGACTAGAGGTTCAACTTCCCCCTCCCCACAAGCATATTATTTTTCAAAATGTTAATATTATAATATAATATTTATTATACATACCTATCTGTGAACTATGAATTCAACATTGTATAATATGCCAAATGTTAAATTAA